TTTCAGATTGCATAATTGTTCCAGTTTCATCGTGCGTGACGACAATGAATGGAACAATAGTAGTATTAGTACTACAAGATTCGTCTCTAAAACTAATGACGATAAGAAAATGTTTTTGCGTTCTCAAATCTCTTCACGCAGTCAGCTTGTCAAGATGTGCGTTCCTTTCTTCTTGTTTTCTCAACTAATTCGATCATATCCTTGGCAGAATCGATAGGGTGCGTAGATGAATTGGAAACTGATAATGACACAGAACTACTAAGGGAAAAGAAAGCAATCGAAGAAAAAATAATATAGGTACCGACATGTCGCGATTAGGTCAATTCGATGCTAGTCAGTGCCAATGTTAGTTTTTCAAACAGTAGGAGTATATAAAAAAGCTTTTTTTCTCTTTATTTATTCTTTTACAGTTCAGTACTATTTGATGAGAAGAAGAAAAAAAGAGGCGAGACGTCGACGATGATGATTATGATGATGATATGCCTATTGAGAGATGTTCTTCATTTTCTCTCGATCTATCAAACGACAAATCATTGGAACTGAACAAGTTTTTTTTTCCAGAATAATTCTGTTAGTCAACTATAAAAGTCTATAAATATCTTGATGATGACGATAAGAAAGAGAAGAGAGAAAAAAAATGAAGCGAAAGTGTGAGAAAAACACACATCAAACTAGTCGTTGCTGTCTATTCGCTCGTGTTCATGATTTGTCATGCAAATTGGTACAAAATTTATTACATCGATCACTTTCATTTCGATAGATGGATGATTAGACTGAACTCGTATTCGTCGTTCGACACGGGCCGACAACAACGAAGAAAAGAAGATCTCTCAGTAAAAGAATCGTTTCGCTCAGTAATATAAAATATCGATTCAAATCAATAATGATTTATTCAGACAATAGATAAATACTTCTAGATAAAAAAGAGAGAGAGAGAGAGATAGAAACGGGAAAGTTTGATTTCTCTCTCTTGTATAGTTAATAATAAAACTACATATGTGCGTGCACGCTTTTTATTGCTCTAGAAAATTGTCAATAATCGTAATGAGAAAAAAAACGTAAAGGGAAGAATAATAAATCTCAGTTAAATGAAACGGTTTCCGCATAGTAGTCGAATGTGCTGATTAGACTTTCTAGCTTTCCCTATTTAATTATTTCTTTTGAAAGGAATATAAAGGAAATATGAGACACTTTAGCGTTAGTATGTATGTAATCATAATCATCACATGCGTTTTGTTGTCATGTGGACATCTTTCGAATTCACAGCGATTACTTTTCCTTCTGTCTAACTAGACAAATAAAGATGAAGAAGTGTATTTAAGTATTCTTCTTTTCTCATCATTCATATCTGAGGAGAAAAATGCAATTAAATGTTGGATGACAGAAACGTTCACCTTCGTCTATACATACACGTTGAATACATGCGCAAATCCTACGGAAAGGAAAGAAAATGAACGTAAGATAGCACTCATACCTCAACTAGATAATGACAATTCATTCATTCGGAAATACTTTCCTATGGATTCAAGCTATTGACAACGTATTTTTTATTTATATCTTTATATATATATACTGAGAGAAGTGGAGAAAGAGAAAGAGAAAGAGAAAGAGAGAACGTGTCATTCTCTATTGAAAAATCTTTTCAGATAGGTTTCATTTTCTAAATTCACCATTTCCTTTCAATTCACTTACTCGTTTGGAGGATAATGTTGGATAGTCGAAGTAACAGGCTCGGTTGATATTTCATTATTTGATTGATGTGTATGTAATGGATTGGCTAAATAACAGGAAGTCGAATGAAACACACGCGAAATTTAGGAATGAAGTTAAGGGAAAAAAAAGTCCAACGTACGATTTCTCATCCTGCCGTTCTTCTCTTGACAAAGAAAAGCGCACAACTGAGTCCTAGTCGTCAATAGTTTTGTTTTTGACAAAGAAAGAGAAAGCTGACGAATATCGTCTATACCATCATCGGAGTATCTTGCAAGTGAATTGGGAAATTTCTTTAGTCGAGAGGCCCACTATATTGTCAATCGGTGCTAGATCATTTGTCTCTAGGATATATTTCTCTACTAATGATAATTTCTTATTCGTCATGAATAGCTTAAGGATAATTTCCACTTGTTTGATGTATGACAGATCGGACGATTTTCTCGATATATACGCGTGAAAAAACTAATCTTTCATTTTTCGATAACATGATCATGGAAAACCTCTTACCATCATTGGTCGTAATCGTCATGAAATTAGTTTCCAATAAGTGATTCTCATTATCATCAGTAATAGTATCAATCTCGTCGATGTCTTCTTCGATTGTTGCCAAAGGTAGCATTACACTTGTTCCAGTCAGATCATTACTTTCGTTACGATCCATCAATGACTGATTACAAATGCTCGTGCATAGAACAGAAAAAAAGGAAGAGATGTTTAGACTATTATACCTTCATGTAGAAATACATCTTTATTATCAAAAAGATTCTACCAGGGGAAGGAAAAGGCGGAATAAGGCATTAACCAACACCAAGGGAAAGAAGTGTGAATACTCATTCAAGCGCATATTTATAGACACTGAAGAGTCCAAAACAACTTCTACCTGTAAAGATAAGAAGGTTGTCATTATAACTTTTCCTAGTTCTTTGGCAGCTGAAAATGCGTTCACTTGCCTCGTATGTCTTGATAAAAATGTTCGACACTTCTCGCCTCATCATTTATGTGTCCGATAAGAAGAACACTTTAGTGAAAAGAAAGAAAAAGCGTTCCGTTAGAACATTCGTTGTTGTTGTTGTTGACGATGATGTTTGCATTCACTTTTCTCCTTACTTCTAACATTAATCTATTTTGCTAAAGTGTAATCCATGTTAATTCAAGTGGAGCAGATCTAGCTGATCAACGAATGTGTTGATTTTGCATGTATACAAATCAGTCGAATTCAACAATCGCACAGAGCCGTCATAGCAGACGCAGAAAAGTCTTATTTCTTCTTTTTGATAGTTAATTAATGTCAGTCGATGGAAGTATTCTTTTTTTTTCAACATGAAGGATAAGAGCTTTTTTAATTTTATGATAATTTCATAGAAATCTTAATTCATATTAACTTCGACAAAGACAGAAAAGAAAACAATTTCCTGTTCATTTCTTTTTCATCTTCTAAAAAAAAATCATATCCGTATTTCCGGGAAGATTCGTTCTATATTAAGTCGGACTAAGAAGATTAACCTTCTTTCCTAGTCGACGAATGACATCAGCAACGATGAAGAGATGAGACGTTTGAAACTTTTTTCTTTTTCCTTTATTTTATATTCTTTGGATGAAAGTTGACAAAGAAAGAAAACTTCATTTCAAGCGGCTTCTACTTAAAAGTCAATTAAACGTTTACGCGTTTGATGTGGAACAAATGCATAACCATACTGTAAACTTTCTTCCGGGATTTCATCGTTGTATAGATTTGCCAATTCATGTCGTTGTAAATAGCCAAAGTCACGTTTCAACCGAAAATTCAGTGAGCGATGATTGTCTTTCAAACCCATTGACGATGCTGATGGATAAGCATCCATACATTGACTAGTTATTAATAAGACGACAAGTATTGGTACTGTAAATGCAATCATGATTTGATGTGTATATCCACTAGATGACAACAATTGCAAATGTAGTTGAGATGAGCATTTGTTTCTTTTTATTTATTGCTCTGAGAATTCATTGAGACATACGAGTATGATTGTTCAGTAGAAATCTAAACTTCCATAGATCGAATTTCATTCCTACGTAATTTAGTTGATTACAATGAAGCCTTTCGATTACCATTTGTCTAATCGATCGATTGATTGGCAATGGTAATTATTCTTAGATCGTTTATAAATATGGTCAATCGATCGAATTCCAAATTTCCAATCGATATTTACTGATATGAACTGCATCATCGCCATCATTGAAACATCATATTCTTAATGACGACAATAAGACACTCGAATTACATCGAAATCTAATCATATTGAGACTAGAATAAGTTTGCGTCTGATTGACTTGATTAATTAAAAAGCGCTATACGATCTGTCTCAGCGTGACGTTAGTATTTATTCTCAAATAACTATCAACAAGGAACTGACCTTCACAGAGCACTTCGCTACACGCATGTCGTTAGCGTAGTCCTATTCCACCTAGTAATCGTAATTATACATAATAATCGAAAGAAGTTTAGCAAGTTAGCGATCATCGACGGAAGAAACAATCTAGGTTACTGTTCATTTTGAAATACACTTCCGACAATGTCTTACTCCTCATAAATAATTCAATAATCACACGTTGACTTTGCAGACATCCTTCCATCCATATTTAGCACTACTACGAAGCATTTTGCCAAAGGTTCTTCTAGCTTTTTTAGCTCATGAACACGTCCTATGAATATCTTAAAAGTGTGCTCTCTCCGGTAAAATCGGTGATAGGAATAAACGTACGCATCGTTACATATGCATATGATTTCTTTAAAAAATAAACAATGGTTCTGTTCAAATTGGAAATTAATAAGAATTGTTACTATAAATAAACTGTGCCTCTCAATAACTCTTCAAAGAGTTCTCTAGTTATTTTGAGATAATTTCATCATCATCATCATCACCGTGTGACTTCCGAGTTCAAACCGTTAAAATCTAACGATCTACGGATTTTCTTATTTCTCCCAATCGCTTACAAATTCAGTTCGATATTCTACAAAAACTGAGCATATCCGGCAACACACGTTACTTTTGCATCGGAAATATCATGAAAGCTCAAGTGTCTTTGATCGTGACACTATAGTCAACGAACTAATGTTGTTGTAGGCAGAATGACAAATGCGTGGGAAATAAATAATTAATAGAGTATTCCATTGTATCAAGAGAGTTTATTGATACTTTCCAACTTCACCACAATAAATGAGATTTTTGACAACAATACGAAGCGAGTAGACATGCACCGATGCCCTATGTTTGACGTTGCATTATTGCGCCGATCAAAAATTTGTTTTAATCTTCGTTGGCGTTCGCTTCTGCTGCTGCTGCTGTTGTTGTTGTCATAGGTTTTTTCGAGCGACTATCGAGAATAATGGTTACAGGGCCCTCATTTTCTGGAATACATCGACGAGACGGTATTTTAACTTAATTCAAATCTTCAAAAATACGTACCGATATTTACATTCATCATTGCTCCGAATTGTCCATCGAAAATTTTCTCCGACTTGTAACTTAGTTTCAATTGACTTAACAATTTTTCATAAACAACCCTAGACTGTTCGCCGGACATTGACAAATGAAAATCGGGTTTTGTTCCTTTCAATGTTGCATGTAGAGTAAATTGACTGATGCACAACAGACTTCCATCGATCTCAACAACATTTCGAGTCCAATTTTTACTACCGTCAGCCGACGGCCACAGTCGAATAGAGAGTAACTTTTTCACGATGTAATCAACATCACTTGGATCATCATCATGAGTAATACCAATGAGAACGCATAGGCCGCGGTCAATGGAGCTGATCAAATCATCACCCACTCGAACACTAGCTCGAAGAACACGTTGAATGACAGCACGCATTACAATCTGAATTTAAGAAGAATTCTCTGTATATATATTTTTTGATTGATTAACACATTAAGCTGAAACACATCCAACGACATTCGCTTACATAGGAAAAAGAAATTCTCAAAAAATGCATGACAGAACAAAACAACAACAACAAACAAATGAAAATAAATCTGACATTTCATGCGTAATCACGCGGTAGATAACGTTGTTGCTGAGTAGAATGTATTCCAGAAGTGTTTCCCTACAAAAATGAAAATATTCACATAGAGTCAGTGCATTCCAATGAGAAAATCACTTACTACACGATTAGAATAGTTTCCATTTTCTTCAGGAAAGTATCCTACGATTCCATCCGAAGTGTTATTATTGTTATTCGTACCAGTTATTGTCATCGGTATGCTATTCTCTTCTTTGACGAACGCCCGTAGATTGAGAAAGCTCGGTGGTAATGGTCCACATAAAGCAGCAAAACAATTTACTAATCCATTGCCTCGAGAGAATGGATTAATTTGATTTCCTCCACGATGCGGTGTAGCCCATGTATCTTTAATCTATAAACAAGCAATAGGAAATATGTTTTAGATTAATTTCTCAAACATACATCTTCGTTTGTTGTTACACTACGGCAAATTAAATATGTGTGATAACTCCAAAGGCCAATAATAGACCAAATTGAAAAGAAGCAAATGAGTGCTTCGGCCATGGTCGCTGGCGTTTCACGTATGGCATCTGCGACTGTCGAGTTGTTCTGCGAGCCTAAAGACATGTCTAGTCAGTTTCTCCTCTCATTAATTCGATAGAATAGCAGAATCGTTCGACTGATTATATTCGAATAAGGATAATTCAATTCAATGCATTCCCATAAGCGGTATTGCTGCAAATCGTTTATCCGAAGGAGAGCGAATTTATGAAGTAGTAGAAGACGATAGTTCAAGTGAGACACTCAACGCAAAGCAAAAATGTCGATTTGATCACTTACGTAGAACAATGTTAACGATATTAAAAACAAAAATATAAGTGCAAAGCAGCGATAATGATAACAAAAATAAATAAAAATATCGATAATTTCTTAAACCAACACAATTCCCAACCCATGGACTAAAACATACACTCAATAACAGCCTTGGAATGTCCGAAAATATGAATACAAACCAGTGATGATCGAAATTTGCTAAAAAGAAAAACATAGAGCTATTTTCTTCTTGGTTTTTTTTTAATCTTTTCGTGTTACCTATACATGCGTTACACAATGAACAGTGTGACACTCGCGGTGGTCGAAAGAGTCGACATGTTTGACAAAATTTCAATTGTAGAACATGACCACTACGCATTTGAAGCTCCATGACTCGACCAGAGAGCGCAACTGTTTGTGTATTATCTGCAGCAGGTGATCATAATACATGAGATTTCTTATGATGGCTAGAGAAATGTTTTACCTGTTCTTTCTAAGTAAAGTAGTTCGTCAGGTGTTGCACGAGGAAGGATGCCTGGATCTGTACAAGCTGTTCGTAAAATACAACAAATAACAGAGAGAAATAGAATAGCAGCAAAAACAGGTATCAATGGGCTGAGTTCTTTGGTTAAATAAGGACAACTAAAATGAAAATCAATGGTAGATGATGGGCAGAATGATCTCGATGATTTTCGTACTCAAAAACAAAGAAAAGACTGGATGTGACTGTAATCAATAGAAGTGCAAGACAAAATATGCTATGGTTTTGACCGGTAATGCAACGTCCGTAGCAAAACACTCGATGTCGACTTTCAACGTACTAAATATGAACAAATCGTAACACTGACTTCATTTCAAACAACAAACCTGAGACATTCTACTCATATTAATGTTCACTGTTAATCCATGCTCATATTTTAGTTCAATATTGAATAGATAAATATGTAGCAAATAGATGTTGGAAGAATAATCATAGTAAGAGAGATAGAAGTAGAGATAACGCTACGATCGATCTCACTTCAGTGATGACATGTAGCGCTCTTCTACAACGCCCTCTACTTTCTTCGTTAGGATTAGCTCACACGACGTGAGAGAACGAATATTTCCTTTTTTTGCATTGTTTATGCAATCGCACACCAAATTCTTTACATTCTCAGTTTATATACAGCTCTACTGTCCAGGAGAACGTTATTAATAGAAAAAAATATCTGGTTATTCTTTTCAAATGTTCATATTTATTTTCACAACAAAAAGAAAAGAGTAATGGATGCTAATTCGTTTCCATCTCTTTGAAACTCTTGACATTTTCTTCATATTTTTCTAATACAATCGAACACATTTGTTTCAAATCCACTAAACCTTGTCGAAATATGTCAAGGGCGGGTACAGCTGTTGAATCTTCGTTCACTTTGGACTGAATTCGAAAGTTAATTTTGGATTCCGACGGATGAGGTATAGTGTATCCGCAAAAGTCGACCGCCGGATTTTTCATGATCACGTATCGAAGTGAATTGCCTAATGTATGGTCTTCATCGCGGATGATAAACGAAAGATTCGCTGCGCCAACAGTTGATTTCGAACTGGTGCTATCATCAACTGGACAAACTTGTAGTTTTATATAGTCATTCGATTGCATCTGAAAGATAGAAGAGTTACTCGCGTGCTCGTTAGAGAAGGAATATCTCTAACACGAAACAATTACTGTCGGCTTTATTTGTAGTGCGAGGAATAGACTGATGTGAGCTCCTTAGTTTGCCCAGGAATCTATTTTTGTTCTATGACTACGGTTTTATTCAGTAAAGAAACGGAGATAATTGTAAAAAAGGAACTGCCATCAAGCTAGACAGCTAATTCAGCCAGTTTCGACGAATTCGATGCAATGACCAATGCGAAGTTATTCAGTACCGGTTCTACTTCACGGGAAATAAATTCGTAGACCTAGAAAATAAAAACAAAGGAGATCAGGCAGCCGATGAGTCGGCCTCGTTTTACTTGTTCAGGCGCTCGTCCGATAAATGTTTTTGCATCTAGAAGAACATCCAATTTGCTGACAATGGGTGCAAAGTAAGGATCTGCTTTGACACGCTCGACAAGATCATTATCTAAACCATCCATTTTCACTCGTTCAGCAGCTTTTTGAGATAATGTACGAATCTTTTCATGACATTCTTGACGATTACCACCGGCCGACACCTGAAATGATTTCATTCGAGAATGATTGTCTGTTTCAACGATTTTACCATAGCCATAATGATATTTTCTGTTGCCATAAAAGGTAATTCCTGCTTGATATGTTTATCAATAACCTACATGGATGAATGAGTGTTAGCTGGATGCTCATGTAAACCTTTGACGTACTTTTGGATAAACGACGAGACCTTCGGTAATGTTTAGCAAAGTAAAAAGGATAATATCAGTAGTTAAAAAGGCTTCCGGGATACAAATACGTCTAAGTTTACGAAATAAAATATTGAGCGAAAATAAGAATCGTTTGATGAACTGATTACTTGTTCGCACTGTCATCTAATGTTCGTTCCATCCATTGCACGGAGTGTGTTCCAAGTGGATCATTAATTAAGGTCATTAAATGACGTGCCATGGCACAACATCGTTCACATCTCATTGGATTACGTTTGTAAGGCATTGCACTCGAACCTGTGATGGTTTTTTTTGTAAATAATAAGAATTTTCAAATAAATAGCTACTCCTACCAATTTGTTCGATTTCGAATGGCTCTTCAATTTCTTTCAAACTTGCTAATAAACGAATATCAGTGCACATCTACAGTTGTAAAAAGAAACTCGAGCGTCCAATAGATGAATACGTATAGAATGTCTATTACCTTATGAATGGTAGCACCAAAACTGGCAAGAACAGTCATGACTTCGACATCAAGTTTACGCGTATATGTTTGACCGCAAATGATAAAAGCTCTAGATAGTGAAAATGAGTTTGCATTTCTGTTCATGTAAGTAGTTTACTTAGAAAACCCGGCCATTTCCGTAACCATTCGATCCAATTCCTCAACCTATTCGGAAAAAAGATTAGCAAAAATCGTTTCTTTCTTCATCCTACTTTCGAATGATCACCGTTGAACAATTGCAGAAATGACGCTTGAGTGCCGGTCGTACCCTTGACACCGCGGAATTTCAATTGCCGTTTTACTCGTTCAAAATTTTTCAAGTCCATCAATAAATCTTGAATCCAAACGCATGCGCGCTTTCCGACTGTCGTCAACTGAGCCGGCCTGGGAATATATAGAACGATACCATCTCAATGTAGACTATTCGACATACTGCATATGCGTATAACCCAATGTTGGTAGACAAGCATAGTCTTGTGCAAATTGAGTTAATCGTTGAATACATCGAACGAGCTAAACATTCGATAGATCTATTCATTCGAGATAAAATCCGTTTTCTTACTTTACTAATCAAAATTTCAAATCCATCTCTCATAACGATCAAATCCTAATCAGGAACAAAATTTTTTCATGATCAAAGCAGTATATTTTTTCTGAATTTACGTACAGCATTGTCGCCCACATACGCTGATGTTGCACCGAGATGAATAATTGACGAAGCTTTTGGGCAACAACGTGCGAATGTGTGTACGTGGGCCATGACATCATGTCGACGACGGCGTTCTTCCGCTTCAGCTGTATCAAAATCAATATTTGTTAAATTCTTTTCCATTTCATCTAATTGCTCGTCAGTAATATCCAAGCCTAGTTGCTACAAGTACCACAGCCAATTATCGTTCTTCTTCTCGGTCAATCAATCCACTCTCTTACCTTTTGACATTTCGCTAGCCAAAACCAAAGACGTCTCCATGTCGTAAATTTCTTCACTTCACTAAAATTAAAACTCATCTCCGCCGACGCATAACGCGAAACCAATGGCGAACGATATTTGGATCGGTCATCGTATGATATCGACGTTGCAGCGACAGTTTGATCTTTTCCAGTGCTACTATTTGATATACTCGGATGGCGACTTGCTTTCAACGATTGCTGGTCTTGCTGATTAATCGACACTGATTCCGATTGAGATGGTCGTCGACTATCGTGAGTTGTTCCTGTATATTCTGACATCTAAAAATAAGGTTAACAAGATAGACGTTTTCGTTACTACATATTTCACACGTCGGCACTCTGACGTCGTATCAGAGTCAATAAAACCAGACATATTGCATTTACGCGCATATTTGTGCGTCTTACGTATAAAACTGAGTTACTTTTTTATATTTTCTCTCTCTCTCTCTTTTCATCCTCTCCGATTGTGAAGCAATCCACTCGTAATCGTATGTTTATCAGAAGCGTAGAACGGGAGAGAGAGAGAGAGAGACAGAGACAGAGAAGAAAAAAACATATCGACTAATACATTTTTTATTATTTATTTATGTGTGAGTAGAAAAAAGAGCTATGTGATCAATTCATATTTGTTAAGTGATGAGAAAGTAAATTAACAATTTGATGCTCGTCGTTGATTCTCATATGTGAATGAAACATTGAAGAAAGGTCATTCTCATCAGCCCAGATGATACTTAATGATCGATTTGCATTGTTCGACGAAGATAAGTTTGGCAGTTGACTAAAAACCAAATTGTCTTTCAATGACGAATGACGAAATGTACGAATGGATAACTTGTCATGAAATTGTCGAATCGTATCGAGAATCTTTGCCGATGGATTTTTCGCCGAAAGATGCACGACAAATTCTTCGTGACTAGGCGGAGTTGACGCTTTGTCTTGATATAGACGAATCTGATTGTACAGATACTCGATCTTTTCTAATAAAGCATCTTGCCGTTTTTGAATACCCTCCAACGCTGATTCACTAGGAGTGGTTTGTTCAATGATTGGTCTAACCGAATACATCGACGTGGGTAAGTTCAATTCGAGATTTCCTGAACTATGTGGACGAATTGAATACATATTTGTTTATATCTAGAACAAAACAAAACATTGATGGTTGATTTTCTTTGCGTGTCAGAATATATTGGAAAAAGGTTGTTTCATTTAATTAGTTGACGATTTCTTTTGCATATGCTGCGCAAATGTCTGAGCAACAAGTAATGGAAATATCAAAGTGGCATCACCGTGAACCTTGACTGGCTTGGCCACTGAACGAATTTTACCCCATGAAACTGCTTCATCCGGACTTGCACCTGAATCAGACCCGTCGTATTCGGATCCTGTATTGATATAAACAGCATAATCAGCACCATTGCGCATTAGATTGGCGTTACCTGAAATAATCCAAAAAGTTTGTAAAGTTGAGATGTACTTAGACATGTGCTGATAACAAAAAATCGTAAAATGTATAATCGTAAAGATGTCAAGGTTTGAATAATTCGCCATTGCATATAGAGCATACAATCAAAGTCTTTTTTTAGCAACTACTTCTCGCTTATGAGCAGAGTAACTTACAAATATGATGTTTAACGATTCCACCACCTAAAATCAGCATTCCAGTTGACTTTGCATGGACAGCGAGGTTGTTAATTCTTTTCAAATCTTCTAAAATATCAATCTTCAGTCCGGGTTTGCGATATGTATGAAAATATAACATGTCGCCCAGACTTCCATCAGTTATCGCCGGACAAAACACGGGAATTTCATTCTTAGCACACCAATAATAGATTGATTCTTCATTATTGATTTCTCTGCCGAGTTTTTCGATTAGTTTCGATGGCGTCAGAATGCAATTATTCTCATTTTCATCAACAAACCGATCCAATATCGGCATCAACCAGTCTTCAAATTTGCAGTAGTTTGTATTCGGTACTAATAAGTTGCCAATACGATTGATTCCATTGGCTCGTAACTGTTGTCCATTTAACGTGAATTCCCCGACATAGGTTGGCGCTAAACATTTTATAAAGTCTTCTTCGATTCCACCAGCAGTTGAAACAAGAACATGGATAAGCTTATGCTGACATAGGTAACGTATGATATCCCGACATCCACTGGAGACCATGTTTGATGTATAACCGAAGAAAATCAGAGAGTTATTTTCAAGCATGGATTTGACTTGTTCGCATGCTTGGCCGAAATGTGTGGCTTGAAAACCGGTCGATACGTATGAATTTAATAGAGCATTGTAATCAACGGGGCCGGGTTTATTAAAATCATGACCATGAACAACTAAATGTGATGAAAGGTCAATGGATGATGATGTCGGCTTGAGAGCAGCTTCCAAGGCAATGGATGGAATACCATCTTTCGATGTTGCAGACATGATGAATTCAAATGGAGTAATCTTTTGTAATTATAATAATCAGTTATATAAGAATACATGTTGGTTTGGTAACGCTGGAGGGATATTGAGAAATTTTTTTATGAATCATCGTATGTTGGATTTTGATCGATGATGTATTGTTTGCAGATCTGACTTTATTTATGAAATAACAATTTTATTAATGATAGGAAAAGGATTTGCGTGAATCATATAGCTCAATCGGTTGAGAGTATTCGATGAATGTTAAATGTTTTTGTGTAGAGGGCGCTAATGTCCAATACATCCTTACAGTTTTGCGTTCCAAGAAATCAAGTCTGGCTACAAGGATGCGAGCTGTATTAAGAAACGAAAAGATGTAAGCTAGTGAAATATTGTATTTTGAATCGAAAAATATTAGGAATGTTTAAGACAAAATAAGTATGCCATGTTTATATTCACACACTCTGATGACAAACGCGCAAAACATTTGATCAAAAGATGTAAGATTAAAAGAAAAGAAAAGAGATGATGATGATGATGTCATTGGATACACATTAGGTCAATTAACTTCAGATGATTATCAGTATTGATATTATACTCGTCTCTTGTGTGCCAAAAGTGTTCCACAGTTTGGACAGTAATGTTCGGTATCCTAAACAACAAGGAATTCTGAGAAAAAAGAAGTCGGATATTTTTATCTCACCTTAAAATCTCTAATGCAGAATGGAATCAAACAGCATCCTAACCAACAGCAAAGGCATCCGATGGCCATACAAATGATCCACGGTAAATAGCCAATTTTTTTCTCAGTACGCGTGACTATATGCTGATGACAATTCCAACATGAACAGCTCGTGGGGTCATGATCGAACACTTCTGGAACACTGATAACGATTGAATCCGAAGGTGATTTTGAAGCGCTCGACGGCGATGCTTGTGACGTCACGGTGCCTAGCAGAATATCACAACAGATGAATGGAAAGCAATTTTGATCGTATTTGCCCTCTCCCATCATTCAATGTACTACTTCCTGTTCGAGAGACACTCCTCCACTATTGTCAATGGTATACAATAGTTCTAAAGAAATTCATGTGACTCAGTTTTGTCTCTATCCACAGAAGTCCTGTAGCTTGAAATGAGAAGTATCTGAGACAGTGTCTTACCATATGTTGGCGGTTGTTGAGCAGCCGCGTTTTCCTTCATCTCGAGAAGGGTGACCGAAGCATTTGCTTCGGCTTCTTTCGTGTCTGTCATATTGCTTTCGACCCGAGTAGTGTTTCTTTCAGTTACTATCGGATAATGCAATCGAGTCAAACAAGCAATGTGATTTTTTTATTCTCGCTTTCTATTTTTTCTTTCAGTTTCGTTTCACCAGTAATATGTCTTCTCCGACGAAGCGTAACCAAACGAAAAGCGCTTCATCCCACGTCTTTGCTTTTCAATGGCGTCAAAATGATTGGAACAGAGCGAATCAAGCGTTATGAAACACGAAAACACCGATGACAATAGTGTTACTAGTTCATCAAACAGATTTTCCCTTCGAAAAAAGAAACGTATGGATACAAAATTCGCCGAGCTTTTTTGTAAAATAATGATACGACCACGATGACCATCTCATTTTTACGGTCAATCGATTAAAAGTATGTCAATAAGTCAGACGTTGACGTTGTGCTACTAGTTGCTTGGTAATGCAAGAAGTTTACAACTAATATTTATTTCGTATAACATTTTCATTTCAGGTTTATAGACACATATTATTAAAATGTTGATTTATATATATTTTATTGAATGTTCAAATAAAATAAAAGAATGAAAGTATATGGTAACTCTATGAAGATTTTACTGGATCGGCCGACGTACTGTATGAAAATAGAAAAGAAGAAAAATCAAGATGATACTATTGATAAGAGTTTAAAAAAGAAATAGGCCAATCCTTATTTGCTTGAAAATATATGTATTAAATACGTTTGACTTCTGCCAATAGTTTGCCACAATTCGGGCAATAATGCATTGTATTCTAAACAGAAGGAATAAACAATCGTGCAGATAGTAAACCTGAACCATACTTTAAGACCATCAATACAAAATGGAATTAAACAGCATCCTGCAACACAGCCTATCATGAAGGTTCCACCGCAAGTCAACCAGTTCAGAGCACCATTTTTCTTTACAGTACGAGTGATAATATGCTGTTGACAAGATGAACATACACATTCAATAGGAATATGTTCGAATTGTTGAAGAGCACTAAGAAGTAGAGTTTGTTTTAGTGGTGATTTATTTTCACCACCTACTGCTGACGGTTGTGACTGGACAGCGCCTAATTAGTGAATGCAATATGTAAGTACTGAATTAACTCGTTATTCTTGTTTCTTAGCATCCATTCTATAATCCTCATACTCTATTCTAGTTGACAGTAATCGTGTCGAAAAATGGTGATCGGTTAGAAACAATCACCTTCGAGTTATTTCTATACTCAGAAGAAATGTAAACAAGAATCTAATCTTACCATAAGTGGCTGGTACTTCCACGACATCGCGAAGAGGATATTCGTGAAGTCTTTCGTATTTTTTCGTGTCTGCCATGCTATTTTCAATCCGAATGACGTTTCTCTCCGCTGCTATCGGATAATACAGTCGAATCAAACAAGCAGTATGATATATTTTTCTTCTCCTTTTCTATTTTTTCATTCGTTTTCGTAATTTGTATTTTGTCGTCGATGAAGCGTAACTGAAAGAAAGTCGCGTCATCCCACATCGCTACTTTTCATCGATGACAATATGCTCTGAATGTAGGTCTTCGCTAAAAACTAGACCAAACGACTTCTCCAATGAAAACTATTTAGAATCTCACTGGATTGCCTATAGACGCGACACGTTTCGTATGTTATACAGAAATTATTGTAATATTTGAAAAAATATCAGAGTGAATGCGTCATCTAATTTTGATATGCGGTTGCTGTTTTTCAATACGATGTTCAGCACATGAAATCCTAATGTGTACTTTTGGTAATTGCCGTTGACTTCGTTTCTTCCCGGATCGCTTTTTCTTACTCCTTTTACTTGCATTCGATGACAATGTCAATGTATTCATATGTTGTCTATTGCTTGAATTCACATTATAATTCTGCGCTGTACATTCCACTGACATTTTCAATCGGTCAAGTGTTTGTAAAAAATATTCGTATCGTTGATTGAGCCGGTCGATTGCTTTCCTATGCTCTTGATTTCGATGAGCTGTGGTTCTTTCCAAACATGAAATGTTTAAACTTGATTGATTGCTACTATTATTCTGACCATGTTGAACATACCGCGAACAATACATATTGAAGGCATTTCGTGACAGAACGAATGGATCCATTCGCATTCAAGAAAAGAAAAAAAGCACAACCGCGCGTAAAGATATATTCTCGACATGACTCATACGTTCATTAGAAGTTGAAGGCTTTCAATTAGATCATGGGATGATTGTATTCTTTTCTTATCTGTTGAAGACACTTGTAATTAAATGAAATGTCTCACTTGATGTATTCGTTAATGACACGCATGAGTGAATATCGTCTCAATAAATACTTATTACTCGTGTGTTCATCTGCTTTAAATAGAAGTGTTCAGAACATCTATATCATTATTCTTCGTATCAACGATAAGTTCGCATATAGAATACATGGCTCGTTTATTGCAATTGTCATTTTTCCTATTGGTTCTAACCAGATTTTTTCACGTTTTGACAAGTAATGTAATATATTCGGTTACATTCGTTCCATGCAATCCGTCTTCGACTTGTCCACAAGGAAATCCACCCGCTATCGGTCATACATTTGCTTTGAATGGCACATTAAATCAAAATTTAACGGCATCTATCAATGAACAACTGAGATTTGTATTAGATACAAACGCACCAGACGACCCTTTCACAGTCTGCCAGCGCAGTTCTGAACCTAATTTTTGCTCTGGAACTACTCAGAGTGATCAATTCAGTCTTCCGATCACTCTTACTGGCAATACTATTTCAGTGACATTTCGTACACCTGGTATCTATTACTATGGTTCGAGCAAGCATCCGGGTATGGGCGGTCGAATTACTATCTATACATCGAACGATTCGAAGAGTGCATCAATCAATGCTAATGGTGCCGAACATCGATTATCTGTATCAATATTCTTTACGATAATTGTGGCTTTGTCGATAGTTGTTTTTCACTGATGACAGTTCATTTGTATGTGTAAATGAACTCGTTTTCTAGTTAGTATATCCAAGTTAGCCTTTTTTTTTTGTTTATAATAAAGAAAGTATACAATTTTACTGTTAACTAGCGGTATCTCTGATAAGAAAATCCTACCGTTTCTGTTGAAAATATTAACAAAGTTGGTAAAACGAGATGAAAAGTACTTTTTTGACGCAAAATTTATGATGACTCAACGTGTATTTATCATAATGTGTCATACCGCTTGGTAGACATCTTTCTTATGCTTTGGTGTATTATTGCACAATCACGAGACGGGTTTTTTTCGTAAGCAGGCAACAACCATGAATCTGTTTAGACGGAAGCGCAAGTCAGGAACATCTGCTGAAGAAATTTTGTTAAATGATATCCAATTTCAATCACTACTATTGACGTTACCCGTGGAGATTGTATATCAAATACTCGACTATCTCCAAGTAGTGGATATTCTTATATCCATGCAAAATGTATGTAAACGCATTAACGCTATCGTAAATACTTATCCTCGATATAAGGTAAATTATGTCACATACGCGAAAATCGATTGGGAATTCTTCGAAATAGATGCTCGATGAATTAAACCTATCCTTCTGTACTCTCAGTTGCGACGGTATACAGAAACTATCCAATGCATTGCGACATAACAGAGTAAATTTCGTGTCGTTCTTATCGATGGTGTTTCTATAAGTATACTCAACTATAGACACTTACTGCATTGACGATCAATTACCAACAAATCGATAGTGAAGGTGCGCAGCATTTAGCGAGAGCATTGTACTATGAAACAGTAAGAATGAGCCGAATATTTGTTTAATTTACTAGAAACTTCACTAGGCATTGACCACTCTCAATCTGTACAACAATCAAATCGGTGATCAAGGCGCAGAATTTTTCGCGATTACACTGCAGTATAATAAAGTAGGTCGAACTATTTCATATTCATTTCTATTACTCAATATAGATGCTTACTACGTTGAATCTTTCATCAAATTCAATCAGTTCGAAAGGAGCGAAATTTATCGCCAATGCATTGAAACGCAACAAAGTAGGAGTAGATTTGAATTCACTCAACGTCGAGATCAGTTGTTCTAGACGTTGAAAACTCTCGATATATCGGTGAATAGTATCGATTTCAAAGGAGCTAAATATTTTGCAGACACCTTGAAGAGTAACCAAGTGAGACTTTACCCATGAATTAATGAATTGATCGGCTTCTTCCAGCATCTCATTATGTTAGATCTTTCGCTGAATCATCTCGGTCCTGAAGGTGCCGAACACTTGGCAACTGGGCTCAAATATAACCAAGTAGAATAATTCTTAATCTGCTGAACTTATCCACACTTTGATATTTCTATTCAGACATTAACATTGTTGAATATCAAATACAATGGACTAGAAGCAATCGGTTCACTTTATTTCCAAAACGAACTGGCAAAAATTCCGTCAAGAATAAAACTTTAAAAGAACTCGATTATTCGTGTTTATATGAAAACAAACTAAAAACAAAAGGATATTTGATTATTGCTTAATTGTATATCAACATGAGATAGATCACGCTGATACATGTAATCAATGAGCCATGACATAAATTGATCGAGATTCTTCTTATCATAAAATGGGCTAATACACAATTTCATTGTTCGCAATTTTGAAGCCATTTTTGATAGGAGAAGTGTGATGAGAAGATACAAATCATCCAGGTTTTCGCATGACAGTGTTAAAGAATCAAGATGCGCGAATACAGTTGGTAATCGTTCATAGAAAGATAAATCTTTTAGGTTATTGATCGCACTAAATCCCAAACAAAAGCGGTGAACATTATAGAGAAATAATTGACTTACGTAATGGTTAAATGTCTGATTAGTTTTGTTAAACGTTGGCAAATATTTTGATCGGTTAACATTTTCGTCATTTTGATTATACTACTCAGTCGAACTGAAAGAGAATGAAGCTTTGGTGTGTAGTCAAGTAAGATAAGACTTGATGTTGGGAAATGATTGCCAATGAATTCAATGGATTCGACATTTGAGAGTTTGACCAAATGCGCCATATCGGCTAGCAAGCTTTTTGGAAACGCTTGGCATTCTTGAAAATGGGAGACAAGTTTCAAGCTTTTCACATTCGGAAAATGAAATCTTTCCCTAAGTAAACTTTCATCAAGAATTGTTAAAAATAATGTGAGATTTTCAACGTTTTCAAACATTTCGTCAGCATCTGTCATCGGCTTCTCAACATTTGTGTTGTAAAGATTAAATTCAATTGATTTCTTAACCATTGGAGTTGAAAACAACTCCAGCGTTCTTTTTGTACGGCAATGATGCAACGCAAAAGACCAATACCGTGAACGGAAATACGATGTATCGAATGTTTGCAGTAGTTCCTTTCGATCATTAATGGCTGGAAGATCATTTTCAGAAAATCTAACATTCAATCGCAAATGAATTAACTTCCGTAAATGTGTCGATAAAACCGATTCCCAGGATTTACCTAAAGTAGGACAATATGAAAAAAACAAGGTTTGTACGAAAAGAACGCGTACCATTTGCATAGTCAATGTCAGTGGCATCGATAGTTAATAGTTGTAAATTGGGAACCGAAGATAACATTGATTTGACCAAATTAGCAAACGAGACCTCGTTTGTATAGACAACAAGTGATTTGAGATGAGGAATAACATAGCATGATTCGGGAATTTTGCCATTGGCAAGTGTAACTGTTAACTGCTGCAATTGTGGAGTATAGAAATGAACGAATGAACATAACTGTTCAATATGACATTGATTGAGGACCAGATTTGTCAGTTGAGAATAGGGTTGATCATTTTCGATAGACAGTTGAGTATTCAAATCGAAAATGCATGTTTGAAGCAATGGTAATTGTCCACGAAAGGTGATCATTTCCTCCCTTATATGATCACTTTGGATCTGGAGGTTTAAATAGACCAATTTTTGTAAAAGATTTATCTGTGGTAGAATCTTTTGAAGTGTTTGAAATTGTAATTTATCAATAGTCAAGTATTTCAATGCAGGAAATTCCGATAGACGAATTTGATACATCAAACGATCGAATATGTCTTCGCAACGTAAGGCGATAATTCTTTGCGACATTAGCGGAAACAGAAAATAGTTATAGTAATCATACGTTCGCTTGCGAAGATTCACCAAATCTGCACGTATATGAAGCGATTGAAGAAATTCATTGTAACGTTTATTTAAATAATAAAATCCTTGGAAAATGTCAACTGGCGAGAGAAATTCAAAAATTTCAAGCAGAACTTCATTTGGTATCCATTCGAACTTCGTAAGACTCATCCTATCTAAAACGTACAAGATCTTTCGGTTAAACTGTCAGCAGCATATGAAAACCAGTGATTGTAGAAATCTTCTCGTGTTTTTATTTATTTCCTAGAACAGTCACAACAACAACAACAATAACAAAACACAGCATCTTTTGTTCAGTTAAGTAACCAATCGATAGGTGATGTAACGACCAGCCGTTTCCGATGTTCGAGTAATTCGCACAACCTAAAGGATAAACACGACGTTTCAAATAATAAATTTTCATCACTAAAAACTTACTTGGCCCCGTTTCAGACCGAAATATCGCGCAACTGGATCACCGTATTGAATGCGTGGCAATTGACTTTCCTTCAAACGACTAAACACAAACAAATTCGAAGTCTAAAAGGAAGATTATTCTTCTTACTATCGTGCCAAGAGTTCTTGTTTTTCTTCTGGTGTCAAGATGACATGTTTTGGAACAAGCTACAACACATAACTGATTGGAATACTTTCCAACAATCGTTACTTACATTATGCTCAGTAATATTGATTAATAGTTCACTTTCCAGAAACACTTGAAAGGAGAAGCTTTTGTTTTGTAATTCATTGATTAACTAGAAGAAAATTGTTGATTATAAGCAAACGATGGTGGTTGCATACATCACGAGCTGATGGAGTTAAACCAATTTGAACAACAAGAATCGAGTGTGGAATACTTTCTTCTTGCATTTTCTTGAAATAGTCTTTGATTCGATCGACACCGATTTTCGGCTGATCAGGAAATTGCACAATCATTGTATCAGTTGGATCGTCATTATGTGCAACCATTACAATCAATTGCGACCGTGCTGGTTTATTTTCACTAGAGTAAAAAGAAAACAATATGAAAATGAAATCGTAGGAGATAAGGCTTTGTACCTTGGTTTATCACCAAAAACTGCCTTGAATTGGTCGAGAGTTTGATCCAGTTCATCTTGACTGACCAAGTAGCCACGGTCATGACACATCTAGGAGAAAAAACGATTCATTTCAATGGTAAACTATTCAATTCGATAGCAAAAGAAGATTTTATAGTTAGTTCTCATTAACATTACATTTGTGATAGGTATCTCGCATCAAAGTGTTTCTTTAAAAGCATGCGGCTGTTATTACCATTCGAATTTAACTCGATCCGCTATCTGCTCCTATACTGAATGAAAAAACGCATTGATATAATGGATGTCATTTACCTGAAGAACAGTTTTTCTAATTCTCCATAATTTGTAAGTTTCAGCTTCATCGTCCATTGTCCTAGCTTGTCTTGAATTTGAACTAAACTGTGAGGAAACAAATGTCGAACAGTGCTCGAATCTGATTGGTTCTTTGAATCCACCAATCGTTCTCAAGTCTGGTCATCTTTTCATCTTTCTTCTTCTTCTTCTTCATCATCATCATCCAACTACACGTGATTGATAATGGCTAACAAAAATTTCAATAACAAAACTTTTCCTTTATTAAATCAAATTGATCAAGGAACCTTTGCGAATGATCTAGACTGGAATAAGAATGCTTTTCAAACTCTGCTGGTGAACTCATTCGAATTTCATCTATCCTTGAAAATTCCCTTTCGCATTTTAGACATCTAACTTACCAGGCAAGACCGTTTTCCACTACGCAATTAATGTAGGCCTACAGCGATTGGAAAACAGTCTCTACGAAACCTATTGGGATGTAACAGCTGATGCACTGAATGAGTAAACTGATTTTCATGTACGAAAAGCCCACTTGCAAACTTTATCTTTAGCCTATCTCAATATCTCTTTGGAAATGATGAACTGAACGATTATTCTTACGAAGCTAAATGTCAGTTATTAATGTACTCAGCAATTGCAATCATCAAAATGAATACTATTGTAACGAATGTTTGTGATTATTTTGCTTGAATTTACTGTGAAGTTTTTAGAGACGAAAATCGATCCACGATGCCAAGCTCGCATGTGCAACAATGTGTCTGCTACTATTACAACAAAATCGGACCTATGAAAATCCAACGACAACGAATGAATATACTGCTTGTCTTCGATCGATGCGTAATCGTTATTTGAAACGTATCTTTATCATTGGTAAAGCTATTATTAAATCATCAGAATACACGAAAACAAACCAATCGGTTTTCCTTTAGTTGAATGGTTACCAACGTTATCAAAAGCACAATTGAAGGATTTACAAACCAACCACGAACGTTATGTATGTTCAAATGAAAGATTTAGATGGTTGTTTTCATATTCTGCTGCTTTAGATTGCCTTGATTCTCGAGCAATTGTATCCTGCAGTGTCTTTACGAGATAAAATCAATCATTTTATTGATAATCATTTATTCACAAGTAATGCTAATGATGACGATGCTACTTCAAGTGGATTTGTGTTTATTCGACGCTTTCCTGAATATAACGATAAACTGATCGAGAAATACACTGATCTAATGAACATGGGACTTACAAGTGCTTTAAATCAATGTAAGTCATACGAAAAGAGCTCACTATATATTCAGGTGTTGATAAGACAGAGGCAGTGACTACAGGTGGTTCCGTTCCTTGTTGTTATATTATCGAAAACTTTTAGTTATTGTTCAACTGTTTTGTCTAATGATCGTATATCGACAGGTATATACAGTAATACAACTTCACGTCTCATCCCTGTTCACTTTCATGCCAAATCTTCTGTAGCCACTCAGTGAAAACTGTTAACATTTAGTTCATTTAATCTATTCGTCTAACATTTCATTTGCTACGATATATAACGTTTTAGTCAATAATGATAGTACACGCAAACTAATCTGTTGTATCTGGACGTTGTCTTGTATGATTGAATCCGACCGAATCTCACTCGGAGGTAAGCGGTGATTGAATACCGTACCTTTTCAACATCGATTCTTATCTTAGTTATCAACGCTAATACATTACGTGAACATTTCTCACTGGCACCTATTGATTTCGAACGAAAACCAATTACAGTTGAATCCCTGAATGAACGTGATGTGATGGTAAGTGCACAGTCCACTTCAAAGCTTTCGGTATTCTTGGTTTCTTGTAGGTTTTTCTTCTTCTCTGCGCACAACAAAATATCCATGTACATGATGCTGAATCCATACTTCATCCATATTTACTCTTCTCAGCATCTCATTTATGTACGCAACAACAAAAGAATTGGTGGCAAACAGCAATTGAACAAACGTAAGCGACACTTTCGACTAAGATTGCAGCTAAACGCTTTCATATTCAATCTCTTGTAGACCATGGAATGAATTCAATGATCATCTAGCAACGATTCGTCTTGATAATGATCAAGTTCAACAACATCCACCGAAAATTATTCTCTTAGAAACTGCACGGATACTATTCAAATCGGTATGTATAGTCTCTATCATCGATTATTTATTTTATTCTCTCTTTCAAAGGCGAAAAATCTCTATGAACACCATGCGAAACGTGCAGCAGAATCGTATGAACAATACGCTTTACATTATCTTCAAGTCGCTAAACAAGATAAAAGCACTCAGTTCGTCACGATACTTCATGGAAGTTCAAATGCGAACGATTAGTTTCCATTTTAGAGGGTCATCATCAGATTTACAAACTAAAGGAAACAAACCGGATAAATTATTCTTCTTCTATTCGCAAAAAACTTTAAATCACGATCTGAAATATAGGGAACAATTGATTGAACAATGCGAAAAATTTACTCAACAATGTGATGAATTAAAAGTAAAGTCTCCTTTTTAATTGTAATCGTACTTTACATATCTCATGTAGTTATTACCGGAACCTGAACCTGAACCACTGCCGCAACCGGAACCACCAAGAACATCTAGTCCAACGAAAGAACAACAAAAAGGTTTTCTCTCGAAATGAAATTACATCTTATCACAATGAGAATCTTTGTTCATTTTTTGTTAGATATCAATATTTCGGCAGTTCTGAGTCCAGTCATAGTAGAAAAAGAAGAACGAAAACCTTCCGAGGTTTGACTTTAACTAAATTTGCATCACTCATAATCATAAGGTTTATCTAGGCTCTTGATTCGACTTTATTTGCCACTCCACCATCAATTAAAAGTCGTGATGTTGATGTACAAACATTTATACGATCTCCAACTCCACCCCCACCACCTGTTGCTGCAATGCCACCGATCGAAGAGAAGCCAGAAACGACCGAACCACCATTGCCACCATATGTGGATCTAATATTTTCCCATATGAATGGAGTTAATCAATGGATCAATCAATTTTGTATGGACAATGAACTGATTCAAAGTGACATTCATACTATTCGAGTAAGAGAATTATTCTTATCTTTTTATTTGTCGATACCAAGCACTTTTCATGATTTAGGATCGGTTGGAAAAGATCAATCGAGTAACAAGTCAGATGATGTTTTCGACTTGCAAAAATTTTCCACTAGGACCCATGGAAAATTCTGATGATTATCAATCCCCACATTGAAATTCTCTTGAAATGTTCGCATCACCATCACTTATTTTTCTATTTATGGTATTTTGCATCTGTTCTTCCTACTCTCTTGCCATATATGTTCTTTTCTTTTCTTTTTCTATTGTAAACGGATCTTTTATGAACTTGTATAAACAGATAGACAACGAATAAATGCTTGTGGAAACCAAACAAAGTCGATCTCATCATATATCTTCTCCACTTGACAATAACAAGAGGGGAAAAGATGGGCGGAGTATAATGTAAATGGGATACGAAATTAATAGACGTGGGTGGTGAAAGCAATCATAAAACTGCTGTGCAAAATGATGTCATCGTATTCGTGAATTATTTTCTCGTTCTATTTCAACGAAGATATATAACTCATCGAGCAAAGATAATAGATACGTTGATAATCAAAGATTAAATAACACAACACAACCTCTTATACACTACTAGCTTAGTTATCTTCATCTTCTTTTTATTTTTTTATTTATTTGTTTGTTTGTGCTCGCGCGTGGCATACTCGTATGCTGTCAAGTGTTTAGCTTGTTGTTCATAAGCGTCCTCTCCTTCTTCTTTCTTCTTTTATCTTAACCGCATTGACTATTATCAGCAGGAAAGAAGCTAATCGATATTGGTCACGAAACGAAGAGATCGAATTTCTCTCTCGTTGACACCATCCTTACCCAACAAGAAATCGGTAAATCGACGTGTGTTATGATCTTATTAGCATGAGTTTAATGAATTCAGTGAGCTATATTCTGATCACACTACAATGAGATATGTGTGTATGTTTTCCAGAGAAAGAAATAGATCGCAACACCTGAATAAGACTTGTCAAGGTGCATCGTCTCATCACACCTAACGAAGTTGTTAGCTATATTCGAATTGTCTTGATACTTATGGCTTATGTGCACATTTGGAAGATGCGTCAACTATCACCAAACAATGATTAAGATTCTCTCAACGATTTCAATATTTGAAAAGATCACTAATGTCATAAAGATTCGAAATCTACTTGCGAATTCAAGAAACGAGAAAACTAATCATTGGAATATGAACAGCATCGATTAGAATATGCTTTTCGAACCTATCATATAGCTTTTCACGATATAGAATATTCGAGCACTTAGCAACATTACATTCACACTCAATTTATACTGACGACCATTCATTCTTATCACAGATTCATGTCTTCAGCAATTTTTTTTTATTCATTAATTCTCGATCTGAATTTGAACGTATACATTCGATTCACCTATCGATCACTATTATTCTATTACGATCGCAGAGAAATCCTATTAAGTTTAAGTGGTTATGGTTCATTGATGCATGGCAGAGATAGGTAATATTAACGGAAAGAAAACGCGAGAGAAACGACATTCATTTCTCTTTCTCTTCGTAATCAGGGACGGGAGAGAGACATACAGATGACACCACCAATTGGCATCGACAAAACAGGAAGAGAGAGAGAGAGGGAAAGAGAAGGAGAGAAAATGTCTCTTGCTGCGATTTCTCCGATATGCACTATCAGACACATCACTTTCATAATTGAACACATCGAGGACATTCGTTAATAATCAAGCAGCAGCAGCAGAAGAAGACATCGACGAACAGGTACGATTATCCATGTGCCATTTTTTTTTGAAAATGTTGCATCACTAATTGACTCAATTGAATAAGGGAACTAATGTATTAGTATCGGTTGATAAACATATATATGTAGATTGTTATGCACCATGTTTTCTTTTTTATCACTAGAACCAAATGATGCTTAGTTATCAACATACAAATATGGAAACGAAATCATCCGGCGATGAAACATTGTTATCCTCATCGATGGTCTCGGAGAACAACGAAGAGAAGGAAAACATTCCTTTATGTAATTATTGTCACAAATCGTTTGCTAATTACTCAAATTTACGACATCATATTCAAATTGTTCACCTAAAAGAAAGCAAATGGGATTGCAGTAAATGCGGAAAGGTAAGAAAACTCGTCTTTTTTTGCTCAATCGTTTAACTTTACTTCGTCAAGATTTGCTCGTCGAAATCCAATTTGAAAGTGCACTTTCGTACGCATATTCGTGTTAAACCTTATACATGTAAATATTGTGAATATGATTGTATGCATCATTCGTCAATCAAAGATCATCTAACCAAAAATCATCCTGATAAACCTCATACCAGTATCGAACCAGGGTAAGATAGATCAACATGTTGAATTTGGAGAGTCTAATTTTGTTATTTCAGGTACAATTACAATTCTCAAGCTGTTCCTGAGCCCGATGAATTCAATGCCGTTGATTTCGACCCGGCAAAATTTGTCGAGCAACAAACTCAATGTAAACAACGTCAATCGCTAATTGTCGAAAATAACGGAACGTTAAAATATACACAAACAATGACAACAACCACCAAGAACACAGCACATCCAAATTCGAACATAAACATTACCAAACCAAAACGTTTCCGTAGTGACACAAATCTTCTTCCAACTTCATCCTCACCACCAACATTTCCATTCCTTTCTCCGGCACCTGTTGCTCTCTGGCCATTCAATCTTTACCATCCAGCATATATTCCAGCCATGATGAATGCAATACGTTTATCATCAATGGCCAATTCTTCGATCCCGCCGATTCACGAAGAGAAACAGTTGAATAAGCCTTCGTCACGAAAATCATTTGAAATCGAAGGTATTCTAAATCTATCCTTACGTGATAACAAGCGTAAAAATCTTTCCGATACGATTTCCACTGATGAGGAAGATTCAATTTGAACTCTTTTTCTTTTTCTTCGCATCTACTTTGTTTCTTAAAAACTTTTTTCTTACGTACGAACAACAATAAACATTTTTTTTTGTTCTCTTCATCTCAATTCTCATCTACAGATGGAATTAATGTTTCTAATTCATCGTTCGTTCTCGAACGAAACGATCGATAGGTGCACAAAACTAAAACTGTCGCAATTAGAATGATACCAAACATAATCACAAGCATTATCCACATTGTTTTCAACAAAGCGCCTGCGTATAATGGACCAATAATAGTGGCGATGTTCACAACAGAACGTTGAATGCCTTGGCCGATACCTTGTTGTTCTTTGTTGACCTCTCGAGTGTACAAGGTCGTAGTCGTAACAGCAATCAACGGCAACGCGAAAATGTCTAACGCGACGAATAACAGAAAGATCGGCAGGAATTTTGTTGAACCAACTTTGGAGAATGGTAGGATAACCACACCGATAAGACAAGCAAAAGTTAGAATTACGTAAGCAAAGGCGAGAATAGTCTGATCGTGCACTTTTTTCGAAATATAATGCAGGCCAATATAAACGATGACTATTTCAACACCGGCGACGGCAAATAAAAATGAGATCTCGATTTCGCCCCAATTGAACTGCTGATTGGTGAATGGAGTTAAAGCAGTTTCAAGTGCTGTTTGATTAAAATAAGCGATGAACGAAGTGATGAGAAGTACCTTTTTTTCAAAAGAAAGAAGGAAACATGGAGCAAAATTACAATCTGCATGGTATTCAATACCAGAATGACAGGATTTTTACAAAGTTTGCCACATTGTTGACATGCTTGACAGCATGAATTGTTCCTGATTATGTTTGACAACGATTGTGCGTCGTGCTTAGATAGAAATAATTGCGTTATTTTTTGTAAGATATTTATTTGAACTTACAGCTCTTATCGGCGCATCATAGAAGAAACACATTGTGAGCAGAATCACAATGAACCATAGTATAGCCATAAGTAAACCAGGCGCATTTTGCACTGTTACAGGCAGACCGAATAATTTGAAATCAAATTGTTTGAGAAGCACAGTGAAACAAGGTCCGAGAAACAGACCAATCTGGCGACAACCTAGAATATCAAAAGTATTGAATATACTTTTCAGATCTTATGTTTCTACCGAGTATTTTTGCAAATAATTGTGTTCGTGTTTCTGGTGTAGATCTTCTCGATATTTCTGCTAACAGTGGCGGCTAATAGAAGAAAAAAAGACAAAATACTTGTTAGTCGATTGACATCATTTCTAATAGTTTCGTTCTTACGACTAAACCCATGCCAATACCTGCTATTAACCGCGAAAGAATCACAACATATATATTAATACCAATAAAATAGAATATATTGCCAATAATTAAACATGTTATTCCGACTAAAATTAATCGTTTTAACGATACACCGATATCGTCCAGATAACCAAAGATGATTCCAGCTATCGCACCCGATAAAGCAAAGACGGACAGAAGAATACCAATAGTAAAACCGGCATAATGATGATATATGAATTGTCGAACATAATTCCAAGCCGTGGGTAAAATAATCGCATAATCAATTCCTAGTCGAAATCAGTTTTGATTGAACCAGTAGTTCGAACACAAATTTGTTTACCTGTTAAAAGGGAGATCAACGCAATGACAAATAAGGTTAGAATTCGTTCGCGTTGTTGACCAGGTGTTAACAGATCCGTAGTGCCATCTGATAGCTGATTTATTCTAGGAGAATTTTCTCGAATTGGACGAGAATTTTGAAGAGCATCGGCCTCCTTTTCTAATGTTGATTGTGGATTATTTGTAGCCATAGTAAATCAATGCAGATCGATTCGTATCTTTAGAATAGAGAAAAGAAAATGTTTTGCACGATTAATCACCCTTTCATAGCAAAAGGAACACAAACGCCTTACGAAACAACAATGCATCGGCATTCCAACGACTGAGAGGAAAAATGTCAATCTTTCTAGTCTAATAACCAACGCTCAATAAAAAGAAAACTGTCAATACTTGTCGCCTGTTTTTTACCAAAACTACAGCAAACATTCGATTAGGAATCTGAAGAGAAAAACCTTTTTCATCCTTTGCTTGTTGTCATCGCCCTTGGTGTATGTACACGAGTTACTAGTGAAAAAACGCATACACTCATTGATCACTGGATATGTTATAGAAGGAAAAGAAGAAAAAAGAAAAAACGTCACCCTCGTTCTTCACATATAGGAACAATTATTAAAATGCGTATGACAATCCATCAGATTGGTTGAGGCTAAACTTTCTTCTTTCTAATTTACTTAATGGTACAGTACGCGGAGGGAAAAGGCATGTCTTTTGTAAAGACAATTCAAGTTGCTGGAGATTCACGCGTGATAGGCGTTGAGTTGTAGTCAACAATCATAATCGAACTGAAAGAACGTTATAATTTATATATTCATTCTATTCGTATTTCTAACAGAATGCGAAATATGATCTTTAACGTGAGTAAATATCGATTGATAATGATTGCATGTATATATTAGTGACAAATCAGCAAAGGGCATTGCCGTTGAAGGAGAATATATATTCTATCGATCGGGAATAACTCATTTGATATGTACGTTAAAAAAAGATGGTCGAAGGAATATTTAATGTGGCAATTGATTTTAACGTTTGGTTAAATGAAAACCGAGGATCATAATGAATGGAACATGAATAAAGAATTTGGGTAGCTTTCAATCACGAAGGACGAAATTCTCTTGATGAATAAGATAGAATTAATATTCAATAAGGAAAAGTCCGACGTAAGCAATGGTCATAGTGCGACTAACATGATGACTATTCTACATTTTTCAAGCGTGGACTTTATATTCTTTACCTTTCAGTCAATCGCAACAAAAATAAAATTAACCTTTAGAATAGATTGACCTAAATCTTTTCTTTATTTGATGACTATAGATTTGCATCATAAATACTTTTACTGGGCAATGATATGCACAACTCTCATCAAAAGAAGTAGCATGAGTGTCCATCGATTTTATAACCACTATGATTGAATATCGAACTACTTTGTACTAATGCGTTATATGTGCATCAATCTGTGGCAAAAAAAAACATATCATCACCTTTCTAATATGATGACGCCACATCCATTTAGAAATACAACGATCATCGTTTTTTTGACGACGAATATCGACTAAAAGTGGTAGAAAAGTTTGACTTTATAACAACATGTTTTCCAACTTTAACATCGACAGCAGTCAAAGTTATATGGTGACCATTGCGAAGATACGGTTTATAAATTCCAACAGAAACATCACAGATACTGGTCAGATATTCGAGGATCACTAGAAACTACATGATAGAATTACAAACATCAAAATCTCAGTGGTTACATCGATTCATGTTAATAAATTATACGCTATCAAGAGTATTATTTCTATTTCTTCCAATTATCATACACAAAAGACACCAGAATATTCACTCACCCATAACTAAGCATAAATTCTTCTCAAGATTCGAGATGAAAGAGTGCATTCATTTATACAGCGAACACACGACGAGTAAAAAGAAAAACTCAGGTCAATGATTCCGGTGAGTGAATCCTGCAGGAACCACGGTTTTTTTCCATCCGCTTCCAAGCACAGAGCCAGTCGGAACATGCAAGCAGTATTCCCGTCGGATTCACTCGTCTCGGTACCTCTCAAAAACTTAAAAATCCGGTCATCGTAAAAATTATTCAAAATTTTTTGTTCAAATGGATTCCCGTTCATGAAAGTAACTCCCTTCGACGCATAATTTGATTCTGCATCGAATGGTAATATTTTTATCGATGGGAAAACGATCGGAAAAATTTACATAAATCTTCCTATATGCTTATGCATGTAAGGAAAAAATCTAGATAAAATTTTCTTCGACGTTTTCTGGTACTAGCTTCACATCGATGATTTTTTTCATTAGAAGAGTTCTGTGAATGCCAGAGAGAAAATACACATGATGAAGCATCTCCAAACCATAACAAAGGATCGAAGTTTTATAATTCATAGTCATTAAGTGTTCGTCATGTGGCCAGTGGTTATTTTTGGACGTCAGATAGATATACTCAAATAGCAGCATTCTTCTAAGCAAAAGAAAACAAAATTTGGTGATACTTAGTGTTGTAGTCTATGACAAATCCAGATTCAATGTGATCGACAACCAGCATGCTATCAACATAGTATACGGGGTTGAGAAATTTCTATTGTTTTTCACTACATGTCTTTATGGATGATGACCAAAGCTTTCTCAGATGTCTCTGAACTATAAGAGAGAACTTAAGAGTGTGTGAAATTTTCAATTTCGACATAATTCACAGAAGGCTAATTTCAATCAGAACTAATGGATCCACATCTCAGTGCTTACATTAAACCACTTCATCGCAATAGACTCCTAAGAGTATCAGTTCGATTATTTTTCAATTATCATAGACAAAAGGCGCCAAACTATTCACTTACACATAGATAAACACACAAATTCTCTTCAAGGTTTAAAATCAAAGAACACATGTCAACTTGCTCAACCCCAAAAGGACCCCACGCATCGTCAATCATTTCATGGAGTTCGGCAATCGCATTCGCTCTATGAGATGAACGCATAACTTATACAATTGTATTCTGAATAACTTGTCTCTTTCGTTTAAAACTTCTGCATTCATTTGTGAAGCGGACAAACGACGAATAAAAATAAAAAAGAGAGAATGGTTGGTCTCTTTCGTCCAACTGTTTTCATTTTCATTTCAAAGGATTCGTTCTCTCTTACTCATACTCGAAAAGTGTACTTTTCTCTCCTTTTCTTTCATCTGAACTCAAATCTCAGGTACATTCTTTTTTCCATTGAAATGAAAGGAGAATGTCAATTTCTTTACTTCAGGCAATATACAGTGTCACAGTCACAAATCATACAGTATCATGAACACGTCTCTACCTTTTTCCTCTTTCAGACATGCGTAAAATCCATTGGCGCCGAGCTCCTCGATCATCTCTG